CTACCAAACCAAACTGACTCCTTGTAAATGTTTAGGCTGAGATAGCAGATTGCTTTCAATTGTGAGGGAATAAATAAACTCTTTATTGAGAAAACAACTTTAGACGGATCTGTGCCACTTACGTGTGTGTCGAGGTGTAGCCCGTTACAAATCGGTCCCCCCAACTACACTTTCTGTCAGCACTTCGGCAACACACATCGAGATTATCACCAGAACTGGTCGGAGTTATCTAGTAGGCCTTAACCTTAGATCTCATAACCTCACACAGAGTCGCAACACGAGTGTACTTGCAGCAGTTGTAGTTCCGCCGATCAAGGCGGGAAATTAGCCACGTTCCCCGCCGCCGCAGGCGCTCCCTATAGCCACGTGCTCCGTCGTGTCGCTATTCCCAGGCGGTAGCCATGGCGTTCAATTTCGGCTCGTCCGCATCAACGGGCTTTTCGTTCGGCGCGTCGGGATCGGCTCCCGCCTTCGGCGCAGCCTCCAGGTGGGCTGTCGAGCTCGTGGTGTCTTTTTTCGTGACTTGCCGGCCTTTTATAACAGCGTAGTTTTTTCATTTTTTCGTAGTGAGGAGTTTTTTAGTGTGAGTCTCTCTCTGACTCCTGTGGTTTCCGCGGGAATGGTTGGACTGGGCGACGCAGACACCTGCCACGTGTAACGATCGTTAGCTAATTTTTGCGCTTCTTACATTTCGCGGAGTGACGCGGCGAGTTAAGTATACCATCGGTGACACCGAGGATACGGAGGATCATGACAATCAGCGAGTAACGGATACCATTATACGTTGAGGCTGAATTCCCACCATATTGAAACCTCCAATTTCCATCTGCCTTGCCTCTGTCGCCGTCTGTCGCCGGCAATCGCCACTTGTCGCCATCTGTCGCCATCTGTCGCCATCTGGTCCCATCTGCCGACCATTGTCGCCTGAGTCTCGCCCTTCACCATACTCTCCCTCCCAAACCACCCTACCCCCCGCGCAGCTCCCCCTTCGGTGCCTCCGCAGCAGCCCCAGTGTTCGGTCAAACCCCAGCCGCCGGCGCTGCTCCGGCGTTCGGCCAGTCGACCACGCCGTCCCTATTCGGCGCTGCTGCTTCCTCCACCCCAGCCGCTACTACCTCCCCCTTCGGCTCATCTGCGACCGGCGCGCCCGCCTTCGGCCAATCAGCGGCCGCCACGCCACTTTTCGGGCAGCCCGCGACCCCGGCGTCCCCGTTCGGGCAGGCAGCAGGTGCTTCTTCCGCTGCCCCAGTTTTCGGGCAGGCTGCCGCTACTTCTACGCCAGCCGCCGGTTCCTCCCCCGCGCCGTCTCTTTTCGGGCAGGCGTCAACGCCAGGAGCAGCAGCGCCGAGTTTTGGTTTCGGGCAGAGTTCATCAGCGTTCGGGCAGGCAGGATCCGCACCAGCTTTCGGGCAGACCGCCTCTCCCTTCGGAAAACCAGCCTCGTCGCCTCTTTTCGGGCAGTCCACAGCGCCAGCGTTCGGCGTATCACCGTCCAGCGCGCCCGCTTTCGGGCAGCCCGCCGCAGCAGGGAGCACGCCTCTTTTTGGCTCTTCAGCGGCTGCCCCGGCGTTCGGGCAGGCAGCGGCAACAGGGGGAGGGCTTTTCGGGCAGCCTGCTTCTGCTGCAGCCACTGGGGCTACACCCACTGCTGCTGCCCCTCTTGCCTCGTCCACCCCCTTCGGTGCACCAGCAGCAGCACCTGCAACTCCTTCTACTCCTGCTGCATCTACTGGTTTCTCCTTCGGTCAGCCTGGGTCAGCAGCAGCAGCCACAGCACCGGTTTTCGGCCAGACAGCCACACCAGGAGCAGCTAGTCCGTTCGCTTTCGGCGGCGCCTCTGCTGCGACTGCTGCAAAGCCAGCCACAGCTGCTGCTCCCGCTGCCTCTCCTGCTGCCCCCACCAATCTGTTCGGTTCCCCTGCTCCTGCTGCTGCTGCGTCTGCAGCGCCTGCCTTTTCTGCTGCAGCGCCAGCAGCAGCGTCCCCTGCTACTGGCTTTTCCTTTGGCTCTGGATCCGCTGCTGGGGCAGGCTTATTCGGTGCAGGCTCTTCTGCTGCTGCTCCTGCCTCTGCTGCCGGAGTCACTACCCCTGCCTCTGCTCCAGGTCTGTTCTCCTCGGGAGCCTTCCCTGCAGCTGCAGGTGCTGTTGGTGCTGCCGGGTTCACTGGGTTTGGGGCTAAGCCTGGTGGTTTTGGCGCTCCTGCTTCTGCTGCTGCTGCTGGGTCTGGTTCCACTGCTGCTGCTGCTGCTGCCTCTACTCCTGCCGCTGCTGCAACACCGGCAGGAGCAGGGTTGGCAGGTACTGCTGGTGCAGGTTCTACTGCTCCAGCGTTTTCTCTGAACTTCGGTGCGGCAGCAGGCTCGGCCCCGGCCTCTGGGCTAGCTCCGGCAGGAGGCCTGTTTGGTTCGGCAGCCAAGCCTCTGTTTGGCGCGGGTGCTGCAGGTTCGGGAGCTGCAGGCTCGGCGGCTGCTGCTCCATCCACCCCTGCTGCTGCTGCTTCGACTGCTGCAACGACTCCTGCAGCAGCAGGTACACAGGCGACAGCAGCAGCAGCAGCAGCAGCAGCAGCAGCAGCAGCAGCAGCAACGCCTTCCTCTGCCACTCCTGCTGCGGCATCAACCGCGCCTGCTTCTGCTGCTGCTTCTACTCCTGCTGCTGGCACTACCGGTTTTCCTTCCTTCTCTTTTGCTGCTTCCACCCCCGGTGCTGCCACCACCCCTGCTGGTGCTGGTGCGTCTGTTTTTCTGCTGGCGATTCTAGTCTTCTTTCGCCTGCCCCCTATTGGGCTGCTACTTCCAGGCCCACCATGGATTCGTTTGCCTCATACCTTGCCGTCAAACGCTGCCATTCAGTCTTGTGCTGACAACTCTAGGCTTGTGACGTCTGAGAACTTGGCCTGTTTTTGTGACACCTCTCCCTTGCTTTGGATATCGACACATTGAATCCATTTCTGTTACTCTCACATTTCCTCTCACGTCCCCTGTTTCTCGTTCCCCCCCCCCCTCCCTCCCATCCCTCCTCCCCTTCCCCCTTCCCCTCCCCCTCCCCCTAAACCCTTCCCGCCCATTTCCTCCACCGTAGCTGCATCTACCCCGGCAGCAACAACAGCTCCCTCTCTCTTCGGCGCTGCTTCCACCCCTGCTGCTGCCTCCTCTCCCCTCGGTTTCTCATTCGCCTCTACTCCCGCCTCCACCACCACCACTGCTGCTCCTGCTACCGAGGGAACAGCAGCAAGCACAGCAGCGGGAACCGCACCTGCCACCGCACCTGCCACCGCACCTGCCACCGCACCTGCTTCTACCCCTGCTGCTGCTGCTGCAACTGGTGCTGCCACTGCTGGTGGTTTCTCATTCGGGACTGCTGCGGCCACTGGTGGAGCTCTAGCAGGAGCAACTGCAGGAGCTGCTGCTACAGGCGCTGCTGCGTCCACACCAGCAGCAGCAGCGGCAGGGGCGTCAGCACCGGCCGCAGCAGGGGCAACAGCAGCGGCCGCGGCGGCTGCAGCGGCGGGCGCTCTGTCACCGAAGCTACCCTCAGAAATTGCCGGAAAGACAGTGGAAGAGGTGGGGCTGGCGGAGAAAGGGGAGAGGGGGAGAGCGGGAGTGGGGGAGGGATGGAGAAGGGGAAAGGGGGCGTGGGGGAAGGGGATGGGAATGGAGAGAGAGGTTTGTGTGTGTGTATGGGGGGTTGGGGAAGGATGAGAGGAAAGGGCAGGGAGTGTGGAGAGGAGAACGAGGTTGTATGTTGAAACCATGTTCATGCGCACTTTCTCTTGATGTGACCGAACTTTTTATCTTGTCGCTTCCCCCTTCCCCTCTCTGCACATCCTTCCTTCTTCCCATACCCCCTTCCGCCTATCCGCCTGTCCGCCTATCCACCCATCCGCCGATCCGCTCATCTGCCCTCCGCTCCTGGGCCCATGCGCCCGCCCTCCCGTCTGCCTTTCCGCCCTTGCGCCCTCCACCCATGCGCCCCTGCGCCCGTGCGCCCCCCGCCCATGCGCGCGTGCGCCCCCCATACAGATCGTGCGCGCATGGACAATGGAGCTGGACGAGCGGTGCGCCGTGTTCAGGCGCCAGGCAGAGGTGCTGCAGCAGTGGGACCGACGGATTCTGTCAAACAGACGGATTCTGTTAGGCCTGGAGGTGAGCGAGGAGGGTAGAAGGTGCGGAGAGGGAAGAAAGGGGGGAGAAAGGGGTAAAGTGGGAGGGAAGGGGGGAAAGTATGGAAGGGAGAGGGAGAGCAAGTGGGGGAGAACACTTGAGTGAGGGTAGGCGGCTAATGCTTGGAGGAGGAACAAGAAGGGGAGAGAGAGGAAGAGATTGTGGGAGAATAAAGAGTTACGAGTTCTTCAGTTCTTTCTTCTCCCCTTGTGCTCCACGCTCGCCTGTTGTCTCTTTCACTTGACCCTGCTCCCCCGCCTGCTCTCCCTCGCTCTCACTTCGCCCTCACCCTCAGCCTCACTCTTCACTCTCACTCTCTTCCTGAGTCTCACTCGCACCCTCCCCCTCTCCACCTTCTGTATCTTCTCTGCTTTCACCATCCCCCTACCGCCGCCATTACCCTACCATCACCCTACCATCAACTTCTCTCCCCCCACACACTCCACCTCAATCTCCACTTCCCCTCCTTTTCCCCTCGCCTTCCAGCATCTCTTAGCCCCCTTAAACCCGAAACCTTTAACCCAAAACCCTTAAACCTCCCTGTCCCTTCTCCTCTCCTCCGCACCAGGCTGACGTGGCGAGAGTGGTGGAGGCCGAGAGGGCGCTGGAGAGACAGCTGGAGCTCATAGAAACACACCAGGGCGAGGTGGGTGGTGCTGTCAGAAATAAACAGGTGACCTCCGCAGCCCACCTGTTTATTTCTGACAACACCAGGGCGAGGTGGGTGGGTGGTTGTTCTTAGTTGACTATAATGAAACACTCCATGGTGAGAAAGAGGCCCTGTTGTGCTCACATTCGTATCTGCCTTTCCGCTGCTCCCGTTATTTTTCCCTTATGCATTATTTCTTCGGCCCCTGTGTCCCGTGTCCCATCTTTTGTTCTCCACGACTCCTCTTTCTGCATTTCTTCCATGTGGGCATCACTATGTCACTAACATAGTGCCCGTGTGTGTGTCTCTGTGTGTGTGTCTGTGTGCGCATGTGCGTGCACGTGCGTGCATGTGTGCGCATGTGTGCATGTGCGCATGCATGCGCGCTCGTGCATGTGCGTGCGTTCCATGTGTGCATGCATGCATGTGCATGTGTGTGTGTGTGCATGCGTGCATGTGCATGTGTGTGTGTGTGCATGCGTGCATGTGCATGTGTGTGTGTGTGTGTGCATGCGTACATGTGCATGTATGTGTGTGTGCATACGTTCATGTGCATGTGTGTGTGTGTGCATGCGTGCATGTGCATGTGTGTGTGTGTGTGCATCCGTGCATGTGCATGTGTGTGTCTGTGCATGCATCATCCCCATGGGCAGGTGGATGCGGCGCTATCGAGTGTGGAGGAGGCCGCAGAGCGCCTGTACGCAGAGCAGAAGGCAGCAGGGCTGGTGGGGGATGATGCCACAGCCACCAGAGACATGATGTGAGATGCTGCTCCTGCTGCTCCTGCTCCTATGGGTGATCTGCTCATGCTGGTGCTTCTGCTGCTGCAGCTGCTGCCGCTGCTGTTGCTCCTATGACTATGCTATTCGTTCCGTCTCTGCGCGCTCCAATTCTCCTTGATGCGCCCTGGTACAAGCAGGCAGAGAAGCAGTGGAGAGAGAGGAGAGCAGCAACACCTTCTGTCCCTTCACGCTCCTGTTCTCCCTTTTCCTCTCCCCCACCCATCTACCCAGGTACGAGCAGGCAGAGGCGGTGGAGCGGGAGTTGCAGCGCGTGGGCAGCAAGCTGAGGGGCGTCATTGACATGGTCAATGCATCGCAGGTGGGTGGGTGGGGGCGTTCGTGTGTGTGTTGTGCAATGAAGCTGTGGCTTACACGTGTGTGTGTGAGCAGCAAGCTGAGGGGTGTCATTGACACAGTCAATTCATCGCCGGTGGGTGTGGGGTTGGTGGGTGGATGGGGTATATTTGTGTGAATGTGTCTGTGCGCGTGTGGGTGTGCGTGCGTGAGTGTGTGAGTATGTGTGGGCAGCAAGCTGAGTGGCGTCATTGACATTGTCAATGCATCGTAGGTGGGTGGTGAATGGTGGGTGGTGAGTGGTGAGTGGTGGGTGGTGAGTGGTGAGTGGTGGGTGGTGAGTGGTGAGTGGTGGGTGGTGAGTGATGGGTGGTCACAGGCAGGTGGGGAGTGGTCACAGGCATGTGGGGAGTGGTTACAGGCAGGATGAGGAGGAGATGGAGGAGGAAGAGGAAGGAGAGAGCGCTGGCAAGCGCAAGGCTGGACACGAAGGTGTTGCTCCGGGAGAAGAGGATAGGAGCAAATCGATGAGGTTTAAACTCACATCAAGTGGAACAATCAATCGACAACAGTCCAATTGAGGGTAACACGCACCGTAGCACTTGCCTGAGCATCTCTCCCGATTTGATTGTTTACGTCAATCAAAACACCTGCCTAGAACAATCAAATTGGGAAAGATGCTCAAGCAAGTGCTGCGCTGCGTGTTACCCTCAATTGGACTGTTGTCGATTGATCGTTCCACTTGATGTGAGTTTAAACCCCTTCGATTTGCTCCTGTCCTCCTCTCCCGGGACAACACCTGCGTGTCCAACCTTGCACTTGCCAGCACTCTCTCCTTCCTCCTCGTTTGCAACCCTCTCTCCGTCCTCGAAAAAAACGAACGGGCCGCAAAATGACCCACCGACCGGACCCACTGACCTGGCGAAACGGGTAGACTTGTTTTATCCGTTCGCACGCCAAATGTACAAATTGCTGCGTCGCGCAAATTTGTACATCCCCGATTCAGCGATATGTGTGTTGGTGTATGGGTATATGCATGTGTGTTTTATGAGGGTGTGTGCTGTGTGTGAGTATGTTTGAGTGAGTGTGTGTGAGTATGAGGATATCAGAGTACAGGTCCGTCACGTCCTCCCCATTCTTTCCCATCAACAACCATTCCCTCACTTCTCTCCCTCCCTTTAAACCCTCGCTCCCCCCCTTCCGCCAATCCCTCCCCCGCTGCCCCTTCAGGCGCGTGGCACGGCCTCCCCATCCGCGGACCCCGTTGCTCTGGTGACATCTGTGCTGAACAACCAGCTGGGCGCACTCGTGTGCCTGGACTCTAAGGTAGGCTGTGGAGAAGTGAGGAGATGGGGCAGGGGATGGGGATAGGAAGGGATGGGAACGTTGGTCAATGGCCATGCTGAACAACCAGCTGGGCGCACTCGTGTGCCTTGACTCCAAGGTGGGCTGACGCAGGGAAAAGGGAAAGGGCAGGGAATAGGAAGGCCAAGAGGGAGGGCGGATGAGGAGGGTGGGGATTTAATGCGTGCGCTGAATCTTCTTTTTGTCCGGTCGATGTGCTCCTGATGTCTCGTTGTAACCCGTGCTGCTGTCAGCTCTGCTCCTGCTGCATTCCTGTTGTGTCCCCAAGGAGAGCTGCTAAGCTCCGGAGCGCGAGCATGCCATCCTCAACAAACGAATGCCTTAATATTGCAGCCTGTTTTTGGAGGTTCTAGCAGTTTGTCAACAAATAAGTGCTCTAACCAGTGCCCTCATCTCATTGCCACCACCACCCCTCAGCACCTGCACCCCCCTCTGCTTCTACCAGATAGTCTCCCCTCCTTTGCTCACCTCTCCTCTCCTTTTTATCCCCCATCCCCATCATCTAATCAGCCTCACATGCACCCCCCTCTGCTGCTTCCCTCCTCCAGGTGTCTCAGCTGTCCTCGCGCATCAATCAGCTTGCTCTAGAGCATGGAAAGCTGGATGGTAGCCTCTCTGCTGCTCCTGGCGCTGGTGGTGCCTTGGGTGCTGCTGGTGCTGGTAACGGGTGTAACGACCTGGGAGGGTATGGCGCAGGGGGGTACGGTGCGGTGGGGTACGGTGGGGGGGAGTATGGTGCGGGCGGGGTGTATGGACGGGGAGGGTATGGTGATGGTGGGAGTGGGGGTGGGGGGTATGGTGGCGTGGGTTCTTATTACTCTCGCCCGGGAGCATATGGGCCGTGACAGGGTGGGTGAGAGGGGGAGCAAGACTCGAGGAATGGGGTTAGTGAGGGTGTGTGGCAGAGTGACAGGGTGACATGGCATGGCACGTGAAGATTGATAAATGAGGAAAAGGGGACACGTTGACATGGCTTCATTGAGTACAGTTATTGTCATGAAACTTTTCAGAAGGGTGGGATGATTCAATTAGAAGGAACGGGGTTACGGGGCGGAGTAAAGTGTGTACGGCATCTGGTTACATGGTTCTGTTGTTTAAGGGCAGATTCGATCGCAGCAAGCCAACTGAGGTCTCTCGTGTCTAGATCTAAATGGATCTAACCAGATTCAACTAGGAGAGAAGAAAGCGAGTAGAAGAAAGACTTAGTAAGTCAATCGGTAAGACAAAACATCGCCTGGGATGTGCGTGCGTACGCGTTTCGGCAACAAAGCCTTCATCAGCGCAGTGCTAGTCTAACTGACTAACTCATCATCCCTTTTCTACTCTGTCTCTCCCTCCCGTCGTCAGCGAACCTAGGGAAATATCCCAAGTCGCGACTGAACTACTACTTAGAGAATTGCTACGCCAGCTACCTCTACAGCTATCTATCTAGCTGTCCATGCATGCAGAATACTACCGAGGAGGTTGTTCACCAACTTTCTGGTGGTACCCATCCTCGTTACAAAATAGAACCACGCTACACCAATTTAGCCCTAACTAACTTGTTACCAATCTTATACGGAAGTCGCCAAGCTGATACAAACCGAGGTTGATGTAGTCCATTTTGTTTGAGATTAGTTTTGAGAATTCTCAAAAATCCCCCCAGCCCGAGCTCCAAATTTCTTGGACATCTTCGTATCTTCAGGGCCAGGGGGGCTTCCCTCGGTTTCTTGAACATGTAGGTCTTCAGAAGTTGCTGCCGGTTTTCATGTTTAACTGTCTTGAAAGTCTTCTGAAGGAAATAGTCAGGGTAACCTCTCGCTCTTAAGCGTTTGTAGAAGGCCTTCTTCCTGATCAGAAAGGTGTCAAAGGAAGTATTCCGAATGCAGTGGCGTTTCAGCTCACTGCTGATGAAACCCGTTTTGCACTCCCTAGAGTGAAAGGAGGAGAACGGGAGATACAAGTATCTATTGAGTGGTTTCTGGAAGGTTGCCACATCAAATAGACCTTGACGTTTGAACCTGTCTCCTTTATAGAGGGTGAGGTCAAGGAAATCAATGGAAGTCTCACTAATCTCCCAGGTCAGTTTAATGGTCGGTCTCAGGTTGTTGAAGGTACTGAGAAACTGCTGAAGTTCCGTAAGTCCCTTGTCCCAGAGTATCAACCCATCGTCGATATATCTGAGATGAAGAAGGGGATGGTGTTCAGTTCTCCTAGTGAGCTCTTTGTCAAGCCAACTCATAAAAAGGATGGCAAAACTCGGAGCCACTGGAGTGCCCATGGCTGTCCCCTGTACCTGTCGGTATACACTATTATCAAACATAACAGAATTGGTCATAACCCAAGTCAGAAGCCTAACAATGAGAGGACGAAGGGGATGTTTCTCCTTAAAAAGTATCCTATCCACTGCTTCAATCCCATCAAAAATCGGAATAGATGGATACAGACTTTGCACATCATATGTGCAGAGAAGTACTCTCTCCGGAAATGTCATCTCTTCCAAAGAAAGGACCAAAGAAAGGCTGTCCCTGAGATAAGTCTTCTGTTTTGAAAGAAGTGGCCGAAGCTGTGAGTCCAACCACTTGGATGCCATAGTGGTAACCCATGAGTGTGAGGCAGCAATAGGCCTACCCACTGGTTCCTTCTTATGCATCTTCAAAAGGACATAGAATGATGCAGGCTTCCAACCTGAAACTGGAGGCTTCTCAAGAGCATCCCAAGTCCTTTTGTTAAGACAAGGTGAGAACTCAGCTCTGATAGAGGAGAAACCAGCCAAGATCTGTGAAACAGAAACAAATGGGAGTTTCTGATACACATCCTCGTCCTCCAAATGTTGGAGGCAGAGGCGGATGTAGTGATCCCTATCCGTGATGGTGATACCCAGATTTTTATCCGCGGGTTTCACCACAATGGAAGAGTCTGCAGCAATAGACTTCAAAGCTCGTCTTAACTTGGGAGACAAGTTCGAGTGCCTCTTACTGGGTTGAGCCTGTAGAAGTTGTTGTTGAAGGATTTCCCTATGCTGCTCCACAATCGTATCGAGTGCACCATCCCGTTTATCAGTCGGAACATCCCACAATGAGTTCGGGATTCGAAACTGAGGCACTAGAGTCGATTCACCAAAAAATTCACGAAGTCGCAGATTTCTGGAAAAGCTATCGAAGTCCCTCAAAGTCTCCGAGGCAGGAGTGTACTCACTGGAGGTTGGCGTCGGAATGAAATTCAAACCAAGACCCAGAACCTTCTCTTCTTCTAAAGAAAGACGATGGCTACTCAGGTTGAAGATGCTACGGTTGGTGATCCGCCTCATCAGCTGTGACTCTGTCATCTGACTAAAGTAGTAAAGAGCGAGGTCCTGATCGGTTAAGTGCTCTAACCTCTCCCCCAAGGCGATCCTCTTCCTGGGGCACGACCTCCTCCCCCCCTGCCGTAGCCTCCGTCTCCTCTGCCTCTTCCCCTTCCCCATCCCCATCCCCCCCGCCCCCCCATCCCATTTTTTGGCTCCACGGAAGGATTCCTAGAGAACTCGTGCTGTTGTTGTCCCTGTCCCTGGGATTGTTGGAAATGAGCAGGATGGTGGTGGATGTGGTTGTGGGGTTGCCACTGCTGGTTAGAATTGGATGGATTTTGGTTCCAGTTGCGGTGCTGAGGAGGAGCAGAAGTAATATGCTGAACATTCTCTGTGTTCCTAGAGGAAGTCCGTTGCTGCTGCTGCTGCTGCTGCACCTGCTGCCCACCCTTCTCCTTTTTCTTGACAAGATCCTCCAGAGCTTCCAACCTCTTGGTCAAATCTGATTTCTTCAGCAATTCCGCTACGGTAGGTTCCAACTCCATATTCTCAGCAGCTGCCTTCGCATTCAGCTTCCGTTGTGTCTCTTTCTGAGCCACCTCTTGAGCGCTCATGTACGCCAGGGTCTCTTCCAAGGCAATGCCCTTGAGAGTCTTCGAAAACTGCTGTAGCAATTTCTGCTCCCACATCTCAAAGCTGTCCCCAAAGACATTCGAAGGTGCTGTCTCTCGGGTTTTCTGCAATTTCTGTCGAAATTCCTCCTGAGCATTGTTAATCTGACCCGTCAGCTTCTGAAGCTCCCTGTCATGCAAAGCGATCAAAGTCTCGAAACACCGCTTCTTGTATTCTGCTTCCAGCCGCTTAAACTCTTCGTCCCCCTTCAGCTTAATCTCCGCGTCACTACTCTTGTAGGTCATTGGCTCAGACTTGAAGCTCCTTGGTAACTTCCCCTCAGAGAATAACGCACGAAGGCGTTCTACCTTCGTCGTCAGCTTCAGTTGCTTGATGAGTGCTTCGCGGTACAGCTTGCTGTAGCCCTGAAGTTGCTGAAGGAAAAATGTCTGGTATCTTATCTTCTTCCATAATCAGGTGTGAAGATCCGGAAGAGGATGACCCCGGCTGTCGCTGTCCATTCAGCAACATATTCACGGTTGCTCCCAGGATTTCCTGCTGCTGCTTAAGCAGTTGCTGCTGGTTAAACACTTGCTGCTGCAAGTCGGTCCCTCCTACAGCTTGTTCCGCAGCTCGTCCCTGCGCTCCAGCCGCGTTAATAGCAGCTGCGTGTGCTGCCGCATCCGCCGCCGCCTGCGCAGCAGCCGCTTGCGCAACTCGTTCAGCTTCCATCTTCGCGTCTAAGGCTGCTTCCTCTGCTTGGAGGGCAAGCTCAGTAGAAGGTGAAAACGCAATTTCTTCTTCAGAATCCGGAATTACTTCAACACCAGCTGTAGATGCTTCCGTAGTAACTGGTACCAGATCAGAAGAAAGTAGCGTTTTGGGTAAACTATGCTGTCTCACGATCAAATCGTTATTGAAATCTCGAATTGCTGGTGGTAGAAGAAGCAAAGAGCTTGCTGTAACAAAACCTGGAAGTTGCCGTCCAAGAAGATTTATCTTCTTCGCAGCGTGTACAGGCAGAGTAGATCGTCGAAGAAGAGTGTCTTCTGGCGATCGCTCCGCGGCAGTACGTTTGACTCCTTGCTCTTCAGTCATGAAACGAAATACCTAACTAATATGCAAAACACAGAAGTATCTATCAGAAATTCGAAATTCGTACCAGAGACAAACTCGGGCTCGGCGAATCCCGGAACGTAGGCAAAATCGCCAATAGAGATGTTGTTCAAGGGCGGATTCGATCGCAACAAGCCAACTGAGGTCTCTCGTGTCTAGATCTAAATGGATCTAACCAGATTCAACTAGGAGAGAAGAAAGCGAGTAGAAGAAAGACTTAGTAAGTCAATCGGTAAGACAAAACATCGCCTGGGATGTGCGTGCGTACGCGTTTCGGCAACAAAGCCTTCATCAGCGCAGTGCTAGTCTAACTGACTAACTCATCATCCCTTTTCTACTCTGTCTCTCCCTCCCGTCGTCAGCGAACCTAGGGAAATATCCCAAGTCGCGACTGAACTACTACTTAGAGAATTGCTACGCCAGCTACCTCTACAGCTATCTATCTAGCTGTCCATGCATGCAGAATACTACCGAGGAGGTTGTTCACCAACTTTCTGGTGGTACCCATCCTCGTTACAAAATAGAACCACGCTACACCAATTTAGCCCTAACTAACTTGTTACCAATCTTATACGGAAGTCGCCAAGCTGATACAAACCGAGGTTGATGTAGTCCATTTTGTTTGAGATTAGTTTTGAGAATTCTCAAAACTAATCTCAAACAAAACGGAGTGTGTGTACGGCATCTGGTTACATGGTTCTCAATCAATGCTATGCTAGCTGCTGAGCTTGCTACAGCGGAAGTAGAGTTGGTCGGAGTCAACGCTGCTGTTCTCTATTTGTGCATTTGTGCTCGGAAATCATGCCAAACAAGTGCTAGTGTTTCTGATCTAGCGTCCATGCACTCTTT